CCATGAACTAATTGAAGAAATTTCTGATCAGCTGAAATAAAAAACTCAACATCCCAATGAAAATTATCTGGATCAATATATCCATTTGATTTTATATCTTTTATTTCATCAGTAAAATAACTCCAAGCAAGTTGTAAAGAATTTTTATTTTCTTTTCCAATATAAATACATATGCTAATTATATGTTAATTTTTATTAAAAATTTTTTTTTTAAAAAGTTATTATAAAAATATATTTACCTATGTTGATGATCTGGTTTTAAAACATTTTCACCTTCATTTAATAAGCAAAATGTTAAAATCACTTGATTTTGTTTCTTTCCGACCAAATGTCCATCACCACTTAATTTGATTTTCAATATATTATTAAAAAAACTAAATGTTGATGAACATTTTAATGGTGGTATTAAAATATTTAAAATAGATCTTATTGATCGATATGCTCCATCTCCATCATATAAGCCTACACTTTCTATATTAGTATTTTCATTAATAAAACTTGTTCCAACCCTACTATTATTTGCTGTTTGACTATTATTATTTGTTTGATTATTATTATTGTTTGTATCATTAACAAAAAAAGTTTTAATTGGAACTAAGTTATTAATAATATTTTGAATTTCAATACGTTGTGCTTCAATTCTATAATAACATTCTAAATCAGGATATATATTTGTTAACATTCTATATGATTCTCTAGAAATAATTGCTTTGTCACAGGCATATACAACTGCATCCTGTATTATTGATATATTGTTAATATCCTCCAATTCAAAATCAAAATCATAATCCAATCCATCTATTTCTAAAATAATTTTTTTAAATTTGATGTTGTTTGATGGTGATGAAATGATATTATAATTGCTTAAAAGTTCAATATTATTATGATACATTTGTCTTCCAATTTCTTTTAGTCTATTACATCTTTGGGAGTTTGAATCTAAACCATTAAATAATTTTAAATTTTTAACTTTCATTAATTGATTTTGATTGGTAGTAAAAATAGAAGGTGAAGCAGTAGAAGTAGGTGTAGTAGTAGTAGTAATAGTAGGTGTAGTAGTATTATTAGTAGTAGTAGGTGTAGTAGTAGTAGTAGTAGTAGTAGTAGTAGTAGTAGTAGTAGTAGTAGTAGTAGTAGTATGTGTAGTAGTAGTAGTAGGTGTTGTTGTAGTAGTAGTAGGTGTTGTAGTAGTGGTGGTAGTAGTGGTAGTAGTAGTAGAAGAAGTGGCGGAAATGGTGATGGGGGTAGTGGTAAAATTGTTAGGTAATGAATAATTTATATTGTATAAAGGTTTTGATGGTAAAGAATAAAAAAACTTATTATATTTTTTATTATTACGATTAGGGTTGTTTGGATTAGAAATGTAAGTCATATAACAACTATTACATAAACAATCACCAACTTCTAATTTGGTATTTTCATTATTATATTTCTTTGAGGCAGTTTCTGACAACCTTCTCCATTTTCTTGGTTTATTAATTCGACATACTTGACAAGTATATTCTAATTCCTTCTCATTCCTTTTCATTCCTTACAAATAATTAACTGTATTACTATTATAAACATAATTTTTGAAACGGGATTCTTTTTTATTGGTTCCTTTTTAAGTGGGATTCTTATTACTACTATATTTAAAGGTCATAGGAGAATACCTTTACTTAGGAACACAAGAGTGATTATTATGTGTGTTATAGATTCGTGTATGATGACTTGTGATTTTAATATATAAAAATAAATGTCACAGGATGTCGATCAAAAAAATTGGCCTGTATGATTTTTCTGATCATCATGCTTTCTAATTAACAAATGATATTTGAGATTTTATACATTGATCTATATATAGGAATTCGGCCATTATTATTATGGGTTTTGTAAAACTGTAAAAAGTCTACCATGCCCGTGTCGATCATTACCTTAAAAATTGATATATTCATAATAGTCGCATGACATTTCCCGCCGATCTATAGGAGGTTGTAAAACATAGTAAAATTTGGATGATCTGCATCATAG